TAGATTATATATATATATATATATATATATATATAACAGCTTTGAGCGCCTGGGGGTTTTGGGCTTCTCCTTCTTATTTATCTTCTCATTTGGGGGGCGTGTTGATCACTTGGAAGGCACTCTCTGTTCCTCATGTTCCTTTCTTCAGTGGAAGGGTGCATCAAACACTAGCAGAGCTCAGAGGGAGGCACCCTTGGTTCGTCTTCTAGGCAGTCGATGTCACCTGCCTAGGTGGCTCCTTGGCCTAAATGCAAATACCTGTTGTAATGAGCGCATTAGGTGCCTTGTTGTAATGAGCGCATTAGGTGCCTTCCTAGGACTATTCGTTGTGGGATGGGGCCTTGATCACCTAGAAGCCTGCCTAGGCTACGAGGCACACGAATTTTGGAACCCTACACATGAGGGAGGGAGGGAGGGTCAGTGTGGGATGGGGCCTTGACCACCTAGACGGCCTGCCTAGGCTTTGATGCACCCGAATTTTTAAACACTGCACATGAGGGAGGGATGGAGGGAGGGACTGCCCACCAACTGGCATATGGGCAAATAAAGGACGAGCAAGTTGCCAGCCACATCAGAAACATGGGGAGGCAGCTAGGGAAGAACCTCTAGTAGGCTCTTAGATTGTGTATTTGGTATATGCATGCCAGCACAATATTTACTAGATGTCAAAATTTTATTTTCTGATTTTTCAAGATTTATTTGAATTTCTGATATTGTTTTTGGACCTTATTGATTTGGGCATTTGTGAAAATGTTGGACTTAAGCTGTATAAATAACTTTTTTGCTTTAGCATTGAATTGGTTTTATTTTGAATCCATACACAAAATGCTTGCATCAACATGGCTTTTGTTTGCTGCATAGGTTCACCAAAATGACGGAGCCTTCCAAAGTTATTCATGTTCGTAACGTCGGGCATGAAATATCTGAGGTAATTTGTTTACTTTATTGCTTTTGCCTAAAATTATTGTTGAACTTTTTCCAATTCTTGACATATAGTGGTTTTTGGATTTCAGAATGATCTACTTCAATTGGTGCAACCTTTTGGTGTGGTCGATAAACGTGTCATGCTACGTGCTAAGAATCAGGTTCGTGAGAGACCTTTTGGAGATGAACTTTGATAATTATTTGCTATATAGTTGATTCCGAATTTTGTGTTTTCGAGTTTCATATAATATTTTCTCTGTAGGCTCTTTTGCAAATGCATGATATACCTTCTGCCGTCAATGCATTGCAATACTACACAAATGTTCAGCCAAGTGTCAGGTACATGATTTTATAAAGATCATCTAATTGTTATTTGTGACTGTATCAAAAAATCAGAACTCTGGGTTCAGGTTAGCATCCAAAAGTTCAAATACAGACAAAAAATTTGTATGTTGCCGTTGGTTGTAAGCTGTATTTCATTTGTTTGGAAGTTATAATGATATTATCTGTTAAATAACCATGTTGAGCTTTTACTTCTTGGGAGAAGGAAAAGGCTCAATGCTGAGAAGGAGAGTACTTTTTCCTATGACCTCATCATCTTTATGGCATTCTTTTTGCTCTTTCAGGGGCAGGAATGTTTACATGCAGTTCTCTTCTCATCAAGAACTGACAACGCCTGACCAAAATGGTCAGGGGAGCAAGGATGGAGACCAGGTTTGTGATATATCGTGTGAATTCTTATATTGTTGATTGTATCTGATATTGGATGCGGAGTTCTTTTTTCATTTCTGATGGTGGTTTCTTTTGCTTAGCCTATGGATGAAAAGGGGTTTCTACAATTGGCATTCTTTATGCAAAATGTTCTTTTTGGTTGTGTGACTATCTTAAGATGAAAGCACCGATTCTTTTGTTTATACCAAGGTTTTTTTTTTAAAAAAACCGGATTGGTGAGTCGAATTGGTCACAACCATACCCGTGTCGGATCAGAGAATCGGTGGATCGGATCGAAGAATCGCCGGAGTCGGCAATTTTCGTTCCAATTTTTTTTTAAAAAAATGACCATAAATCTCTAATGATAGTGTTCTTTTAGTTTCTAAAAGAAATTAGGAGTGGTGCATTGTGTGTTTTCATTCCTTGGTGAAAATAGGTGAATACTGAGATGCTGTTTCCCTATCTAGATGTCTGTATAATTAGTAATTCTAATATAGTATTATAATATTACATCAAAATAATTTAAAAATATTAGAATACACTTTCATATTATAAGATTGAAAATAATAGTTTATCATATAAAGTGAAATCAGTATTACATTAACGTATCAAACATTTATTAATTTGCTTTTTTACTCATCCAAAATTTTCACAACCTAGCTAACTATAATATTATATACTGAAATTGAAATGGTTGGTTTATATTTTATAGTTATTTACTATACAAGTAATATCAAATCCAAAATATCTTATAATATCATCTAATTTAAAAAATCTTATTTACAACTATAAGAAAAATAATACATTACATAATTTATAATAGAAGATTTGGTTATCAATGTATAATTATTAATTATGATATTATAATAAATCTTGTCACTGAAATAAGAAAATCAAACATAGATGACCAATGACAAGGCTATTTCAGAAATATGTGTTAGATCTCAATAATTTTTATGTTTAACCCCAAAACATTAGGCATTATTTAGGAAAGCATTAATTTTTTTTTTGACAATGTCCTCTTTTATTTTATTTTTTTAATTAATTAATTATTAGCATAAGATTTCCTATGAAGCATGGGTCCCTAGTTTAATGTCAGTCCTGTGTGCATCTATTATTTTCTAATCATAGTATATAATTTTATTTTATTTATTTATTTATGAATTTTTTCCCTTGTCTCACCACAATCGTGTAGGCACCACGTTACCACCTACTATTAATCTCTTGAAAAAGTAGGGCGCAATTGGTATTGCATTGTGGTACGTTACAAAAAGAAATTATTTTAATATGGAACACCGCTGTACTCCTATGGTTGAAGATAACGAAATGAGCTTGTAAAGGATTTGTCCCACATCGAAGAGATGTGGGAACAAATGGGCATATAAAAGGAAATGAATTCACGCTATACGTAGGCGCGTGACAAGAATGCTTTTGTGTGGCTGTACCATGCCATCCTTTTCGATGGGCCCACTTAGAAGTCAACCGTTTGATATCAATATCTGATGTGTCCATCGTGTGATGTCATTGTGTCTGTTGTGTGATGTCATCATACCGGCTCCTATGTCGAATCGGCCAGATCCCCTTTTTTAAGTGGAACCGGGACAGGCTGGATGATACTCGATGCGGATCGCCCGATTCCGGATTGGGTCACCGAATTTTTAAACATTGATTTATACCAAAGTTTATAGGTGTGCGTTATGAAGGGCATGTTTAAGTGCAATGTTCTGGACCTCATTAAATGTCATAGGGGCTTAGCCTGGTGAAGCCTTAACGCTGGAGCAAACAATCCTCTTTGTAAATGTATAACCTAATGGGGAAAATACATTCATTTGCCATGTGGAAAAACCCCAACAAAAGGTACCAATGAACTATTATACGCAACAAATAGGATGAATTTGATTGTCTGGTTTATTTAACAAAAAGTTGGTTGTCTGGTTTCCTGATACTCTGTGCTGGAATGTTTGTTTATTCTGGATGTAAAGGGAGGTGAATGTCATGTTTCTCTTCTCTTTTCTGTACTTCTTCTGAGTTCTTCTCTCTATTCATTCTTCTCTCTCTTGTCTCTTTTCTGCTGGTATGCTGTCGGCGGCCCTCAGGATTCACAACCCAACCGAATTCTCTTAGTTACAATTCATCACCTGCTCTATCCTATAACAGTGGAAGTTCTTCATCAAGTTTTTTCTCCTCATGGATTTGTTGAGAAGATCGTGACCTTTCAGAAGGCAGCCGGTCAGCTTCAAGTTTTCTCTCTTTCTATTCTTTTCTCTCTCTTCTTTCTGTTCTGAAGATTGTTTGGATGGATGGTTGGATATGTCATGTTTCCCGTCGAAATTGGTTCACAGAATGTTATTCGCATGATGCTTGTGCATTCTATATGTGGTTGCTATTTTTGTTGTATGCTTTGAAGGCTTGATTTGATTAGAGACTCTGAAGATCCAGCTGCCTCTTTTGTTAATTGCTTTCATGCTTGTGCTTAGTGACTGGATTTAATGCTGTTGGATCATTGATGCAGGATTTCAGGCTCTTATCCAGTACCAGGCTTGCCAAAGTGCTGTTCAAGCCAGAAATACGCTGCAAGTATGTACATTTTCATATTTCTTTTATTTATAAGCTGGGTGCGGTTATTGAATGCTTTAGGCCTAGAAAGCTGAACACTGGTGGATTCCACTCTACAGGGGCGCAACATTTACGATGGTTGCTGTCAGCTTGATATCCAGTTCTCGAAGTATGTGCCTTTGTCAGCCAATTCATTCAGTTCGGGTTTGATTTAGTCTCTTTCTTTATATGATATGCCAAAATTATAAAACGATGAATGTAATTTTCCAATTTCTTTGATCTTTTCAGTCTTCCAGAGTTGCAAGTGCACTTCAATAATGAAAGATCCAGGTGAGTTCATGGCTCTTTGTGCCTTTTTTGCTTAGCCAGATGGGGATGGTTTATTTCAGTAGGATAATTAAATAGAATATTTTCAGTAAGATCCTTTTGAGCTCATTATACTGGATGTTTGGTTCGTTATTATCTACAGGGATTTTACCAATCCATCTTTGCCCAATGAACAGAAAGGAAGACCATCGCAAGGAGCCTTGGTATACATTATGCTAGATATTTATGGACCCACATTTGTTTAATGAGTCAATAAAAAATGTGCTTTAGAACATTCTTGCTTTGTTACTTAACCAATTGAAATTTTTAGAATCTAGTAATGTAAATGGTGTTGATTTTTGCATGACATGCTGACATTTTGGTCATATATACCAACAGCCTGGTTATGGGGATTCAGGAGGCCTCTATGGCATGCAACCAGGAGGAGGCAGGCCAGGTGCTGCCATTAGTTTATAGTGCCCATGTCCTCAATTTGTGGTTTCGAGCATTGCCTTTCTTTTGCATTTGTGCTGTATTCTAAATGTTTTGTTTGGTTCCCTTTCTTCTTTTATTTTGCAGTGGCATTTCCACAGGTGGGTGCAATCGGCCTAGGCCCTATCCAGGTTGCCTTACATTTATGCCTTTTGAATTTGTCTTTTTTCTTTCTCATAGGTTTTATTTAACACTAACTATGGTGTGGGTATGGCTTGCTTGCTATGTTTGTGAATGTTTATCTCAATAGATTGGCACTGCTGCAGCCATTGCAGCTGCATTTGGTGGGGGTTTGCCCCCAGGCATAACTGGTACTAACGACAGATGCACTCTTCTGGTGTCCAATCTAAATCTCGAAGTAAGTTTGCCTCTACTCACCATAATGACATAATCTCTTTCGTAGCTTTTATACTTTCTTACATAGTGTTCTTCTATTACTTTCTTTCTCATCACAGAAAATCGATGAAGATAAGCTTTTCAACTTGTTTTCCCTCTATGGAAATATATTACGCATCAAAATGCTTAAAAACAAACCTGACCATGCACTCATTCAAATGGGTGATGGTTTCCAGACTGAATTGGCTGTACATTTCTTGAAGGTCAGTTCTCGTTTGAATTTCCATTTTCTGTTTCCACAGCTTTGATAGAACTTTCGTGCTGTGGGGTGTAAAATAGCTAGCACATGTGTGAAAATTCAAGTGAATGACCAATGTACTGAATTTTTTCTGTACAACTGCTGATTTCCGTCAGCCTGAAACAACCTTAGATTATTCATTCATCATATGTTAGCTTTAAATGCCCTGTCTATTCGAGAACAGTATTCTTTTTTTTTTTGCCAAGTAAATTTTCTTCTTCCACAGCTTTGGTAATGTCCTGAAGATTATTATGACTTTATGAAGTGTAGGAATCTGAGTAAATATTTTACTAAAATGGCTGATATTTCATTATATTGTGGCGGTGCTTGTTATGCTTTGTTATTTACTTTTATTTTTTGGGTTGGAAAGTTGGATTAGAATGTACGAACAGGTTGCAGTAACAAGTGCCTTTAAGGCATGTACATTTATTTCGAATAGTTAGGCACCGAGGCGGCTGTGGGGGTCCAGGCCGCCCAGCGCCTTGGCGGCCACCCAGAACCTGGGCGGCCTAGTTGAAAAAAAGAAGATAGAAGTCGAGAAGAGATGACTATAATCCATATTTTCATACAATGCTAAAACAGTAAAACCCTACAAGCATACACTGATAGTCTGATACACACAAAAGTTAGATAGTAGAAACTAAAACTTTGAAAAAGAGAATTTACAGAAATTCAGAAAATATACAGTCTAGGACACCATGGTTGACACTCAACAGTCAACACTCAACATCAAGAGCCAAGCACTCAAGCGCCTTCAACTCTTCATTCTTCAGTCATCATCATCAGAAGGAATAGGGTAAGCCTCATCATATGCATCAGATTCGAAGCCATCATCATCAGAGTCATCTCCCTCTTCAACATAACGCTCATCCTCATCTGTTTCTTCTGAATCTGCGTCTTCCTCCTCCTCTTCTTCTACCTCCCTCGTACTATGTGCAGATGAGGCCTTAGGAGTCTTGGCTGCTCTACCCTTTTTTATTTTTTTGTGCTTCCCTGAACTCAAATATTGTATAATCTCCTCCTTGGTAGCTTCAGGAACATTTTTTCACGGGAAAACATCCCCCTTAATGCGGACAAGGTGTTTTTTGAACCGGTAAATACCCCATTAGTATCGTTTCCATGATAATTACATTAATACGATTTTTGTCATTCGGATTTGGGTTATAACCAAACTTCTATCCCGGATCACCGCTTTTAGAAGAACCTGGAGAAAATATTTCCATGGAACAAGGCTCATTTTCATAATTTTCTGGTGCTTCTAAATTAAGAAATTGTTTAATCTCATCCCCAATAGCTTCAGGAACCTTTTTATAAGAAGCAACATTCCCTTTAATACCGGCAAGATGTTTCTTGAATCAATACCCCCGTTGGTATATTTGTCACAAAAATTGCACGTTATACAATTTTTATTGTTTGGTTACGAGTTATGACCATACTTCCAACCCGGATCCCTTATTCTAGAAGAATAAAAAATTAATGACAAGGATTTTGTTCTTGTTTTTGTTTTACAAAGTTCATATATTGCTTAATCTCCTCTCTGATAGCTTTAGAAACATTTTTACAAGGGGCAACATCTTCTTTAATGTCGGCAAGATGTTTCTTAAATCGGTTTATACCCCCTTTTGTATCTTTTTCACAATAATTGCATCTAATGCAATTTTTATCAATTGGATTCAGGTTATATCTTTATTTCCAACTCGGATCTCCACTTCGACTGGATCCTGAAGAAGACATCTCAAAATAAAATAAGGAATCTAAAAATAAAGTTTTGCATTTATTTTGATTGTTCGAACTCTAAACTCTTACCTCTGAGATGTTTTTTGGTGCTAAAATATTCAAAAACATCCTCTAATAGGATTAAAAAACTTCAAAACTAAATCTAATCTACCTAGGTGATGTTTGGATCAATTTTTCGTAACTTTGAGAAATACTTCGATCCAATGAAAATCACAAAATCTAGTTTTTTTGAGGTTTCTTTCTTTCTAAAATCTAAAATGGGTTATTGTGGGTTTAGGTTTCAAATGAACCTAAAACTCATCTTTAAAAGCTTTTATTTTTATAAAAAACTTAATAAAAAAAAAAACTCATTTAGGGCTGAGCGCTCGCCTTGGCGGGTGCTGTACCGCCTAGGTGGCCGCCCAGGGACTGCTGCCTAGTTTGGCCGCCTAGGCCTGGGTGATGCGCTTAGGTCTTCTGGACTGTCTAGGCGGCCACCTAGGCGTTGGGTGGTCCGCTTTTTTGAAGTTATCCATATTTTTTGCTTCAGATGTTAGTTTTTGAGTGGTTCCTCTGGTTGAGGTGATTTCCCTTGTTGACTTAAATTCAGTTTTTAATTGTTGGAGTTCATACCTGTGGTTGTAGCTCCCATTAAACAGATGATTTAGGTCAAGTTGAACTGTTCTACTTAGATTTTGGCAAATCTGGTTTGAGATTTTGGCAATTATGGTTTAGAAACTTAGAGAACAATGTAATTGATTATTTTTATTTTTCTAGAAAATTAATGTTTATAGATGGCATCAACATGAGACTTATGCATGTTTTATATTTGAGTTTATTTTACAAAAGATTAAATTTTGTGGCCTGAACTCCTATGAAATCCAAAATTCAGTTGGGCAATTCTGATGAATCCATTATGGAAGACCATATATTCAAACTCTTATTAGTTGTGAAAGGTGAAAATGCTTTTGTCGGTTTCTAAAGGTTTGGGCTAAACTTATGTGAGGGGCTAATTAGGTGGTCAGCCCCTCCCAATGAACATAGTGGGTCTGGAAATCCCCACCACCAAATGTTGGCTACTTTTAGATCAGTGGGTGTGCAAGTCCTCATCAACAAATTATGGTCACTTTTGATTGTGATCTCCATGCTTACTAAATCTTATGGGGGGCCTTCTTATGGGGGGCCTTCTTCTAGAATGTTCCCTCTTAAAAGTTCTCTTGTGGCATGAATTCCAATAATGTATTTGAGATTTGACTGAAATCTGACTTAAAATGATTTTATGATCAGAAATTTGGTTTCATTAGTAAGTGCAACTAACTGTTAGAAAAACCCATGGCTCAACCGGAAGCCTTTTGATATTTGAACCAGAGGTTATGTGGGTTGTTAACCAGCCAAAAAAGATAAAGAGAAGGAAAAAAAAGCCAAACACTTGGCAAAAAAACGCGAAAGTATCCAGTTTCCAAAAAAAATACTGAAAATATCATCTTTTTTTTTATCATACTAAATTGCAAAAGATGAAGGCTTTCGTTGTGTCAATTTTACAAAGGTTGTGTTCAAGTCAAATCCACTATATATAATTCTTTTTTTCCTTTGTCCATTTCATTTGATATCAGGGGGCCATGCTTTTCGGGAAGCGAATGGATGTGAACTTCTCAAAGCATCCGCACATCACCCCTTCAACCGACACCCACGACTACTTAGGCTCCAACCTCAACCGATTCAACCGCAATGCTGCCAAGAACTATCGCTACTGCTGTGCCCCCACCAAGATGATCCACATCTCCACCCTCCCTCCCGAGGTCACTGAGGACGAGATTGTGGCCCATGTTGAGGAGCACGGCAATGTGGTTGGGAGCAAGCTCTTTGAGGTAAACGAGAAGAAGCAGGCCCTAGTGCTCTTTGACACGGAGGAGCAGGCCACCGAGGTCCTTGTTTGCAAGCATGCCACCACCATAGGGCGTGCCATCATCCGCATCTCTTTCTCCCAGCTCCAGAGCCTGTAGGACCCTCAACAACCTTCACGAACATTCTTGAGTGCGGTAGCCTTTCCCAAAGGGGTGTGCAAGAGGGTGGGGTTTAGGTATTTGTTTTTATTTTTCTTTGTTTGGGATTTTGTGTTCTTGTTTGGACCTGGGTTTTGTGCTCTTGCCTTTTTAGGGGCAGAGACTTGCTTGTTGCACCTCTTTGGGGTGCTTGGCTTTTGCAGCGTGGATCTTGTTTTGTACTCATGATACATATATTCAGTTTACTGTGTAGTTTGACCTAATGTCTAAGCATGGAAATCGAATGTACCTGTGTTTTCCATAAGAAACTGAGCCTTGCAAGTGCTACTCATGTATTGAAATCCGGACTGTTTACTTGAATCCATGAGAAGTCATGTTCAGGTGGGTTTTCTTGCACGCATGACTTCACTCTTTCGCTTTGCCATGGTCATATGCTAGCATTGTTCTTATGGTAGCTTCATCTTAGGAATCTTATTGCATATTTTCGCACAGGCGTTTATCCAATGGAAAGTTATGTGTGAGTTCGTTCCCAGGGAGAGCTTGTTGTCAAATAGGAGAGTACTGTCATGCTTAAATTAAGTGTGGAAGTTTCATCCCACCGATTGAACACTGAACACCGATCCATATTGTAGCTGTTTTGGTCCCACATTTTAGAATGAGAGCTTTCCCACGAAACAAACATGGGAAAGTAACTAGTTTCAGGGAGCTCTCCGAGAGGTATCTTTCGTGTCTGATGAAATCTGTGTTTTTTCTTTTTATGCTTTGTTGCTATCTATTTTTTTTTTAATTATTATTTCGATATGTTAATGGTGGGAATGGAGGGTGGGATGTTATGTTGAGGGATCAGCCCCTCTAACCACCATGCCTCAACTCCATTGCCATTGTTGCTGTGCTAACCTCAATTTTTTTATGACCTCATTCATATTTTTTTGCTTCATTTTTTTTTGACGAAAATAGCCTTTACGATAGTTTTAGGACTATGAAGATATCACGATAGACTCAATATTGTGATGGTCAAAGGCGGTTTAATGTTTTGAGGCATTATGACACTTAAACTGTGATAGTCGTTAAGAGGCATCACAACACTTAAAAAGCCGTGATGTTGATTAAGAGTTCTTATGCCTTGTGACGAAGGTATAACGGTTTAAATTAGAACCGTGATAGTCCAATAAACCATCTTGGTTCTTTTAGTGTTGAGATGCTTTAAAACTATATTTGACTTACAATCTATAATGACTACGACAATTTTTAATAAATCATGGTGCCTTCACGGTTTTAAGACTATCGTGAAGGCTATTTTCGTCTATTCACTCAAAAAAAACGTATGTATGACGTTTTGAAAAGTTTGGGGTTTATTTTTAATAATTTAAAAAATTAAAAGTATAGTTTTTATAATTTCCCATTTTGTGCTCTACCAAAAGGCAGACTTTGATTGACAAGTGGTCTCTCATTAGCATTTGGTGGTTTTGTGTTAATGTGTTTAAGGTGTGGCCCAGTTTGAATCTCTTAATTGGGGAACCTAATAACACACGACCCTTGCTTGCTATATTGTAATTCATGAAGCATTTGATACACAAACAATGCTTGCTACCACGTAATGGAGAAATCATATGATACACAAATAATTGCTTGGCACTACTTCATATGGTGCTACCTCGACACATGGTAGTGACTATGTGTTTGAATATTTATATTTTATATTATAAAAAATATAATGTTTTATTTATAAAAAGTAAATATATGGGTTTGTTAAGCCATATTATTATTTTTTGGACCAACGACTAAACGACTACCTTTGAATTCCACTCTTAGTCATGTGAAGCATGCATTAGTACATGCACTGACTCATACACTAACAAGAAACATGATTGTAATATGAGATTATTATCAAATTCTTAAATTCCCATTAGATATTCACAGGGAGCGTAGGTGGCTATGGTAGTAGGTACACAACACCACGTCTTGATTTCGATTCCTACATCAATGGAAAATAGGATCGGAGAAGAAGATCCAATGGTCTTGTGCACCATTGACACATGTTCCGCTGCTAAATAAAAAAAGTGATTTTTTTGAAAATCACTAATCGTTAGGGGTGGCAATCAGGTTGACCCGAACTAGGTTCAAATATGGGTCCAAGTGTGGGACCCGGCGAGTAGGGTCTAGGTCCAGATGACTTGAATTCGACTCGAGTCGGTTTTAAGTCCAGGTTTGGCTTGGACCCTATCAGGTCCGATTAACTTAACCCAACCTGATCCGGTATATATAAGTTTAAAATATGTAGCTATATAAGTTGAATAATATTAACTATATATTGTAAAATGTAAAGTATTTTTTTAGTTTTATTTCTGGACCTTGACGGCCCAAACGACTTTGACCTAACCTTGTTCCTTGTCAGGTCTAGGTTCAAGTTCGACCTAGTTAGGTCAAGTCCAAGTCAGGATCCTGGAACTGTTGCCACGCCTACCCATAGTGGAGTTAGGGGTGGCAATGAGACATGGTGGGTCCAATACTTGAACCTGGATTTAGACCAAAACGGATCCAAAGTTATTGGACCCGGACCTGACCCAAAAATAAATAAATAAATAAATGTGGGCAAGGTCTTGGCAGAACGCCTTAAAAGTGTGTTACTAGTTGTTATTTTAGGCCCTCAATCAGCATTTATTAAGGACATATTGATATTAGACAATGTAATAATGGCCTAGGAGTGTATTCATTCCAAGGTTTTGCTTGGGAATCCTGAGGTTGTCATGGAAAAGGCTTATGACATGGCTGAATGGGACGTTTTGATGGAGATAATGAAGAATATGGGATTTGGGAAGGTATGGAGAAAGTCGAATTTTGGGTGTGTCTCATCTGCGTATTTTTCTATTATCTACAAAGGCAGTCCTTTTAGTTTTTTCAAGGCTTTTCGGGGACTGCGTCAAGGTGATCCTCTTTCCCCATTTTTATTCACGCTGTATGCAAAATGTTTTAGTCTGTTTGTGAGGAATGTTGAGAGAAGTGGGCATTTTTTTGGCTTTCTAATGCCAAATGGTGATCTTCACATTTCTCACCTGCAATATGCGGATGATACTTTACTTTTTTGTGAAGCAGACGCCGAGCAGGTAAGCAACATTGCCACTTTCTTAAAATGTTGTAAGGTTGCGTTAGGCCTTAAAGTTAATTTTGATAAAATTGCAATGGCTGGTATTAACTGTAGGGACTCCTTAACTTTGGAATTGGCTGGTGTGTTTGGTTGTAAAGTGGAGTATTTTCTCATAGTGTATTTGGGGATGCCTATTTCGGATGGCCGGCTTCCAATGGCAGTATGAGACAAAATCATTCAATGGATCCAAGTTAAGCTTGATATATGGAAATTTAAATACCTTTCTTTGGGGGGAGGATAACCTTGATAAGAGCTGTTCTTTCGAATTTACCATCTATCATATGCCCATGCCTCAGATACCATTGTCTGTTGCTAAAAAAATTGAAAGTTTAATGAGAAATTTCTTGTGGGGCTCTTTTGCAGAAGCCAAAAAGTTCTATATTTTGAGATGAGATAGGGTGTCCACTCCCAAGAGTGAAGGGGGATTAAGGATTCGGAGAGTTAAGCTGGTCAATCAAGCATTGCTGTGAAAATGGTGGTAGAGAAGCCTCAAATTTAAAGATCGGCTCTGGTATAAAGTAGTGGCTGCCAAGTATGGAGTGGATAGGTTCGGAATGTGGGTGGGCTCTAAAAATGGTACGAGGAGAATGTTCTACTGTTGAAAAGCAATTAACTCATGCAAACCTCTTATTCATCGAGATATTCGTTAGTGCTTAGGTGATAGTCGTAATATATCTTTTTGGCATCACAAATGGTTAGGACCTTCCCCCTTGAAATATATATTCCCCATGGTTTTTTGGAAGATGCCAAATCCCAATTCTCTCATCTCTGATTATTTTGAGAAGAGAGATAATCAAATTGTTTGGAATATAATTCTTTCGTATAACAAAATTTCATATTCTCTTTTTGCCAAGTTTTCAGCCTTTTTAGCTCTACTTGATGAGGTTTACATACCTCGTAATGCTACTGATGAGTCTGTTTGGGATATTGATAAGGATGTGGAGTATTCAATTAGATCGATGTATCATTTACTGTTTCATGACCTATGGCGATGGACTATGCATGAGCTTGGCGACCAAAATAACATTTTAACTGTTGATAATCTTATTAAGAGGGGAAAGATTCAACCAAATATTTGTTTGTTTTGCAAGGAGGATAGTGAAATTGGTGACCATCTATTTCTCCATTGCTGCTTTGCCTCTCGGATTTAGAATTGGTTTTTTAGTCAGCTTGGGATTGTAATGGTTATGCCTTCAAAGGTGAAAGGTATTTTTGCTAACTTGTCAATTCCTTCTCTCCCGAAAGTTGGTTCTATTATTTGGCAAATCGCAAGGTATTCTGGCTAACTTGTCAATTCCTTCTCTCCCGAAGGTTGGTTCCATTATTTGGCAAATTGTAAAGGGGGAAATCTTGTGGGAGGTGTGGAAGGAGAGGAACATAAGAACCTTTGATGTGGTAAGTTTGCCTTTCGAAAATGTTATTGGGAAAATTTTACACTCAATCTGGCTTTATCTATCCATCACGAAGGCAAAGAGTGATATCTCTGAAGTTGACGTCAGGAGAAACCTATCTATTTTTTTTCGGTTGGACTTCTTCAAATGCAAGCCCAAAGGAAGATGGACTGCTCCATTGCAGGGGATATTTAAACTTAACTTTGATGACATTTCTTTGGGAAACCCTGAACCGGTTGGTTTCGAAGGACTGGTCCGTGATTGGAATTGAACAGTTATTTTCTCTTATGCAGATCCCCTCGGTAATAAAACATCTAATTTCGCAGAACTTCAGGCCCTTCTTCATGGTTTAAAACTCTTGGTGGCCAGAAATATAGTGCAACATTTTATTATCGAAAGGGATTCCCTTAACGTCATTAATTGGTGTAACAAGAAGACTAGGTCACCGTAGAAACTAAGGTCAATGCTGCTAGAACTATGAGATATTTCATATTATTTTTTAATCTCTTTTGTGCATGTTTACAGGGATGCCAATGGGTTGGCTGATTTCGTTGCTAAATGGGGTACTTTCTTTTCCGAGACTTTGGTATCTGATATTGTAATTTATTTTCAATTTAATATAATAGTTGACCTTTGTCAAAAAATAAAAATAAATAAATAAATATATATATAATTTAAATATTATAATTAAAAAAATATAACTATTGGACCTAGGCGGGTTCAATTCTTGGACCCAAGACGTGGTTGGGTCCGGTTCCAAGTCAGGTCTGGTCTGGTCCGGGTCCATGGCGACCCCTAAATTTAGGGGTGGGGGTATCTAGAAAAAATTAAAAAGAGCAAAAGGCAATTAAAGTACATAATAACCAATGAGTGAACAACTTTTGAGTTGTTGACCAAAGTAAAACCTAGCAATAGCACGTGGGTTCTCTCCGTTTCGGAGCACCGAGCGTGGTTCCCAAACGAACGGATTTTATCGCATTTCATAAATCATTTCACGTCCGCTTTTGCCTCCACTTGGCGGGCTTTTCACTCTGCACTCTTCACTCTCTAACCTTTTCCTTCTCTTCTCTCTCTCGAAACCTTAATCCTCTTTTTTGTCCCTTCAAACCCTAATTCTTTTTTTGGTCTCTTTAAACCCTAATCCTCTGCATTTCTTCTTTTAAACCCTAATCATTTTGCGTCTTCCGCTTTGTTTTGCGTCTCTTAGCCTCTGCAAAAATGGTGCTCGCGTACTGTAAGTTTGTAGCTAAATGTCGGAGTTCTATGGTTACTTTTTGTAAACCCTAATCCTCCTGGCATTTTTTTTTACGTATTTGGCCTCTGCAACAATGGCGGTACTCTACTCTGACTAAATGTCGGAGTTTAATGGTTGTTTATTTATTTTTATGGTTTTACATGTGTTGAGATTGGAGCTCTGCAACAATGGCGGTTTCACAGTGTATTCTATGGTTTATTTAGTGACCTCTGTAACAATGGGGCTGGTTTACTGTAACTAAATGACGGAGGTGTATGGTTAATTGGTGGAGATTGGAGCTTTGCAACAATGGCGGTTTCAACTTTTTTTTCTGTGGTTTATATATGCTTTTGAGCTCTGGAAGTATGGAAGTTATTTCTTTGGGACCTTTTTGTTATGTTGGTGATTGTGAAGTAAGAATTCTGTTCCCCATTATCTGTCATTTTTTGCATTGAAGCATTGCAAGAATTGAGTTTGTTGTGGTGATAATCTGTTCCTTTTATTATTGTTCTCTGTGTACTTTGAGCTTCTGCTGCAACAATGGTGCCAATATAACACAGCACTTCTTGTTCTCTTATCTCGGTGCTTGTTCTTATAAGTGGAGACCTTGAAAAAACGCCTCTCTTGCTGTTGAGGTCCATGCTCTTTATTAGTTTATACCATTACTCTCTGCAACATTGCTCTTTCCTTAGCTAAAAAGTTCTTTTTCATTGAGGATGTATTTCTTCACCTGATTTCTTCTTCATTATTACTCTTACTCTCTCTCTCTCTCTCTCTCTCTCTCTCTCTCTTGCCACTTTATTTGGACTGGTCCTCACCATCTGCCTTCTACTTCATTCCTCTTTGTTTCTCTTTTTATATTACATGATACTAAGTGTCTTGAGGACTCTATTCTTATTCTAAATTTGTAGTCTCTCTCTCTCTCCCTCATTCTTCATTTGCCCCTTGCAATCGGTCTCTTTGATCTAAGAACAATGGCTCTCCAATTATTAGTACCAATTTGCTTGTTATGCACTACCAGAAAGTGCTTTAACTTTATGCATGTCTTGCTTCTTCTTCATCTTCTCCTCCCCTTGAACCCTGTTACATCAGCCCACCAAGATATATTCACACTTCTCCAGTTCAAGAAAGGCATAAAACATGACCCATCAGGCTCTATCTTCGAATCATGGAATGAGGAATCCATTGACTTTAATGGTTGTCCTTCTTCCTGGTTTGGCATTGTTTGCAATGGTCGTAATGTGGCCAGCATATCCCTCAACAACCTGAAACTCTCTGGTGAAGTTAACCTGGGAATCCTTTCCAACCTCTCCATTTTAGTTCACCTTTCTCTCTCTAACAACTCTCTCTCTGGACTACTACCACCCAAAATGGGCAATTTTGCTAACATTCAACATCTAGACATCTCAAACAACGTCTTTCATGGAGAGATACCACCTGATATAGGCCGGCTTCATAATCTGAAAAACCTCTCTCTCGCCAATAATGGATTCACAGGTTCAATTCCAAGCACAATTCAGAACTTGGGTACATTAGAATGGATGGATTTGAGCTCTAACTACCTGACTGGCTTGATTCCTACTGGCTTAGATAGGCTTTTGAATCTCAGAGTGCTTGACCTGCACCAAAACCAGCTTTCTGGTGGGGTTGATCATGCAGTGAAGTTATTTCCTAGTGCTGTTTATGTTGATCTTAGTGGGAATTCGTTTTTAGGTCCGATTCCGTGGAGAATGGCATTTGGATCAGTGGGTTCAGCCTTTGCTCTTGAGTATTTGAATCTCAGTAAAAACCAGGTTAGTGGGCCAATTATGTACAGTGATGATATCCCTCTATTTAACAGTTTGAAGGTGTTGGATCTTAGCCATAACCAGTTGTCGGGTGAGCTTCCGGGCTTTCAGTTTGTGTATGCTCTGGAGGTTCTGAACCTGGGGAGCAATCAGTTTTCTGGCTCTCTACCAAATGAGCTTCTAAGACAGGATTCTTTGGTCTTAACTGATCTGGACCTTAGTGCCAACAATTTGTCTGGTAAGTTGGTTTTTTCATTTTTGTCTTTGTGAAAATTAGCCTGGTTTACTCTTATATATCACAATGGTATGTGGTTGGGTGAGAAGGATGAGGTGTTTTTGTGTTGCTTGTAACTTTTATAAGTTCAACGGATGAGTCAGATTTAGTTTTTATGTGAGATCTGGTTTGCACATGCCCCATTGGACTTTGTGTCTGCATCTGATTTATGCTGATAACTTTGTCTTACAAATTTACCGAATTGGTAATGCTTCTTGTTAGTCTACCCACCCTTGACAGTGTTACCCTTGCGGAATCCCTGACACATGAACTTGTTTATTATAAAAAAATTAGGCAGCACCAATGGATATGCCTTCTCAAATAAAAAAGAAAGAGAAGAAATAGAATCTGATCATCCAGATATCAACGACATTCTCTCTTCTTTTTTTATTTGAAGTAGTGTTTATATATTCCTGGAAAAGGAAAAGTAGTTTTCTTTCATTCTAGTTATTCTATACATACCACTGGTGTGTTTCTTATTTTGGTCTTGTATGGCAGGTCCATTGGACATGATCACATCCACAACCTTAAGGAACCTGAACCTCTCCTCCAATTTGCTATCTGGTAATCTTCCCTCCAAAATTGGCAGCTGCACTATTGTGGATCTTTCAAGAAACAGATTTACTGGAAGCTTGTCAGTAATCACTGCATGGAATGACAATGTTGAAGTCCTCGATTTGAGCTGCAATTATTTATTTGGGCTGATCCCTTTGGATGCCTTGGTTTTTCTAAGATTGAGCTATTTGAATATTTCCTTTAATTCTCTGGGAGGTCCTATAGCATCTATAATGCCCCATTATCCTAAGCTCCAAGCACTTGATCTCTGCTCCAATCACTTCAATGGATCTCTTCCAACCAACCTTCTTGCATCCCCCACAGTTAAAAAACTTTATCTTTGTAATAATAATTTCAGTGGGGCATTTCCTAAGAGCGTTTCTTCAAACCCATCTGATCCTATGTTTTACCACTCTATTCCACTCCAGGAATTGGATCTTTCAAATAACCAACTTGATGGTCACATACCTAGAGAAATTGGTTTCATGGGTGATCTGAGGAGGTTGGTCATCTCGAGAAACCGCTTCTCAGGTCTTTTGCCCTCTGAAGTGAGCAACCTTAGTGTTCTTAATACACTTGATTTATCAGTTAACCAATTCACGGGCCTATTACCAGCTGGCTTACCAGATTCTTTAAACTATTTTAATGCATCATATAATGATTTTTCAGGCTCTGTTCCCTCTAATCTAATGAAATTCCCTCAGACTTCATTTTATCCGGGAAATTCAAAGTTGCTTTTTCCTCTTCAAACTCCATCATCCAATGAAGGTGCTCCTATGGTGGTTGGTTCTCTTGGACCCCAAAGAAAAAGTGTGAATCGAGGTGTTAAAGTTGCAGTGACACTGGGATGTGCAGTTGGTGTCAGTATGTTGCTTCTTGTTGCCTTTATCTTTCATCGGAAAAGAGCTTCATACACATCAGATCGTAGTGACATTGACAATTTTAGCAATGTGTATCCTTCAAATGGGCCCTTTGCGAAAGTTCCCTTACATTCTACTTCTGGTGGATACAGTGATCCAAAATCTTCACCCTTGGTGTCCTTGATCGTTTCTTCTGAGCACATCCTATCTCCAATAAAGGACCCTGCAATTGGGTTTAAGAGTCAAGGTACAGAAGTGGATATTCCCATGGGTTTCTCACCTCCACGAGCTTCCGAGGAAGAAAATCATAGGGTACTTGGTGCCTACCCTCCCGATCGGCTTGCTGGTGATCTTGTTTGTTTGGACGAGACAATGTTCCTAACCAGTGAAGAATTGTCTCGAGCACCAGCTGAGGTATTGGGTAGAAGCATCCATGGAACCTCATATAGAGCCATCTTGGATGGTGGGCATTCATTAACTGTGAAGTGGCTCAGAGATGGGATGGCAAAAAGTGAAAAAGAGTTCAGGAGGGAAGCAAAGAAGCTTGGTAATGTCAGACATATGAATGTTGTTCCTATCAGGGGCTACTACTGGGGACCCGGACAACATGAGAGGCTTCTATTGTCAGATTATGTAAGCCCAGGAAGCCTCGCAAATTATTTGTTTGGTAAGTGGACTTGCCTTTTTCTTTCTCTTTTGCTTTGATTCGTGTAGTGCTTCCTTTGTGTTGGTCTGACGCTGATTTTAGTTTCGTAAAAGGTTGTCTCAATGTTCTGCTTTTCACCCTACATTGAAAGCAAATTCCTGTGTTGTTTTTCTTAAATTTGTATTTGCAGGCCTTATCACGCATGTTACCTTTAGTGTTTACTAATATACTTAAAGTTCTTAATAATCTTGATATTTTTTATCATTAATTCTTATAAGAAAAAGTTTATATAAGGTTGCAACCTTAAAATGTAGAATTACATATGCAACTCAAAATCCATCGGAAAAGGTTGTTTTAATGTTAAAAACCTTCTAATTGATCATCTCAACATTGAGATGTATGAATATGAAAAAAAAGAAAAATGATTTTGAGTCCCAAAAATAGTGCATCTTGCAACACATTATCTAGACCGTCCATTTTCAAGATTTTCATATGTTTATAGATACACTTGATTTTAACTATTTTTTGAGTTTGAAAATTTATAATTAGATATGAAACTAGTTTTTTAGATAATCATAATAATTTTTTACACTAAAATTACATGTTATGATAAAATTTGGAGGTGCGCCTTAATTGGATTGTTTAAGGTTGCAACCTTATAGAAACCACACCCTTTCTTATAACAGAAATTAGTTGTTCATTTTCTGTGTGGTTAGGGAATTTTACTTGGATTTTTTATTCTGCCAAAATATTTCATTCTTCTGCTGGATTTTACAGTCCATTTATTCCCTCGGGTAAAACTAGACCTCTCTTTTTCTGTTGGGTAGACTGACTGGGTTTAAGCCACTACCTGAAGATTTCTATTTCGAGTGCCTTCTAGTTGAGGCTTGTGCCTGAAGCGGATGTTGAGATATCTGTGTTGCTAATTATTTTTGCCTTTTATTGTGCTTTGAATTTGTTTCATACTTTTACCGAACTTTTGTGCATTTACCTTTGAAAGGATCACTTGCAATTTCAGTCTTTTGGTGTTTTATTCTTGAATGCATAGAATGCATAATGCAGGTGCTTGCAAATTTATGCTCACCAGTGACACGTACAAATCCACACACACACATACACAGACTTACGTATTTTATGTTTTTAGATTATACCTAGTGAATCCTGATAATGCAAACTGTTATGTTTACTTAATTTATAGTATTCTTATTATTAAAATCCAACCCCGAGACAATATTCATCAGAGTAAAAAAAGAAGGAAACATTTGCAAAAGAAATAAATCTTGAGTGGCCAAACAGCAACAACTTTGTCATCTGTTTCTCTCCTTCAGATCTGCCGAGCAGGAGAACGCCCCCCTTAATGTGGTCACAACGCCTCAAAATCGCGGCTGACGTTGCTCGTGGCCTCAATTACCTCCACCTTGACAAGGCCCTTCCTCATGGTAATATCTGTGCATCCAACATCCTCCTGGACGGTACAGAACTCCAGGCACGCATTTCCGATTATGCCCTTCACCAGCTCACATCGAGCCCCACATTCCCAATCCATCCACCTCCTGAAATCTCATCTAAGAAAAAGCCCAAACCCTCGTTTAAAGCTGATACTTATGCATTTGGGATGGTTTTGATCGAGTTATTGACTGGGAAAGATACGAGTGAGTTTAGTAGGGAAATTTCAGCAGGAAGAAAGTCTGGCCAAGTCGAGCCTGGAAGCCTTATGGATTGGGTGAGGAGGCTAGTGGAGGAAGAGCATGGGACCCAGTGCTTTGATGGGGCCCTCGTGGACGTGGAAGAAGAATGCGAAGCTATGAAGAGAGTGTTGGCCATTGCTATGAGATGTGTTCTTCCTGCAAATGTGCGGCCGAGCATAAAGGTAGTGTATGAGGAGATATCTACTTTGTGAGATATGTAGGGTGGGTGTATGTTTTTCTTGGTCCTTTTTGTTATCTTTTATTGTTTTGTTTTCTTGGCCATTTCTTCATCTTTTTTTGTTGAGGGCCTGGAAATTGTTGGGACTTGGCAGAGAGTTTATAGTTCTTGCTCACACATGCATACGCATGTATACACGCACAGTCGACTCGAAGCTTTCTTGTAGTTCAGTCACAATGTTGAGTTTCAAATTTCACGAAGGTGTTGAGAGTTTTGTGCAGTGGGATGCCATTTGGTCAAAACTCATTTCTGTCATTCATATGATAACAAAAACCAGAGACTAGAAGTGTGGCAATTGAATTGGGGGAAATATGATTTTCTCTGATTTTGGGGGAGAATTTTGGTAAATATGGTGGAAATTGGATTGTTGCACGGTTTAAGTTTCCATTCCTACCCTACCGATGCTAACCCTATTTGAAAACTAATGGCGCTTTCAAATAGCTGACTTAATGTTAAAAAAAAAAAAAGAAGCATAAAACCCTTAAAATGGACTTTCTAATTAATTTACCCATCTTACTTTTCTGGGCAACTTTCCCCTAGCAAATGCTCCTAAATATAAAAAGTTCATTTTTTTTTTATATTTTTGATGAAAATATATTTCTCGTACATAATAAATCATTTTTGGATCTTAATAATAAGAAATGCTGGATCGTACTTGTATAATATTGGATTACTCATTTCAAAATGTTGGACTGCCATTTTAAAATGTTGGATTGTCCTTTCAAAATATCGCATTGTCATTTTAGAACGTCGAACTATCCCTTCAAAATATGTTGGACTGTCCCTTCAAAATATCGTATTGTCATTTTAGAACGTCGAGCTGTCTCTTCAAAACGCTGGACTATTTTTTCATCGTCACCTTAATTTGTTATGTGACGTAAGGTTATTTTCATAAAATAAATAAATAAGAACTTTTTGTATCGGGTCGTATTCTTTAGGAAAGATGATTTTTTCGGGGAAGTTAAAAAAAATTGGGTTGAGAGTAAATTGATTAGAAAATTCATTTTGAGGTTTTATACAATTTTCCCAAAAAAAATATGCTATTGGACTTACGCATACAAGGAGACTATTGCTTTCCAAGTAACATCCCAAGCCATCAAAATATAAAATTTGCCTATTCAGATATCATTTTACTTAAAAGCTTTGAGGAATATTAGTAGGACTTTTGATCGGTAAATGAAGTACCCTTAATGATAGGGGTAGCAGAGGGTGATTCTAATCCTTTTGTACTAGAGGTAAAAAATAATCTTCTTGTACACTTTCGCGAGGAAATTATGAAATGAAAAAGTATACAAACAGTGCATTTGCTTTTTAGCACAAGCAGGTTATAATCACTAAATGTCTTTTAGATTTTAAATTGGGTGAACATGTCATTGATTAGATTCAAAACATCAAAAAAAATTCTTTAATTTTGTAACACACCTTAAGCTAGCCAATTTAACTTCCCAAATTTTGTAACACACCCTAAGCTATCCAATGGCTAAAAATAATTTTGATCTTACAATAAAGATAAATTTGTCTATATATATAATCTCTACACAGAGTAAATTAAAAAAAAAACAAATTTAAACTTTTTTTAAAAAAAGAAAGAAACGGAGAGTGATATATAATGTGTTCTGTCAGGAAATTTTGGAACTTTTTTTTTCAACAAAAAATTCCCTTGTGATCGACATGAAAAAAAAAGTTGGAAATAAAAAATTAGAAAATCTTGGAAAAATAAGCAATAAATTGGAAAAATACATAAAATTTAAGTTCAACTTTTTAAACAATATGTTTCAACGGAACTGGATAAACTGGCAATCAATTTGGTTTAACTGATCAAATGTCAAATGTAAATCTCGATTTAGTTCTTGAATTGCACTGGACAGGGTTCCGCTCACTGCCTCCAGACCGCCAGTAGGGTCTAAAATCCTTCTGTCCGTGATGAAGCCATTGTAACTTTTACAGAGCAACAAAGACTTGACTGGTTAACGCTGTATCAACTAAAATCGCAGTTTTTCATATATTAATGATCATAAAATATGAATTTTGAACGTATCAAGGTGAATTTGCCACAAACAAACTCATAGCTGATACAAATACTGTACATATATCCTTAGAACTTATCAATTCACCACCAGAATCCGTAGGATGAGGTCATTGGGGGCTGTAGTAGTAGGACGCTAGTGCAAGGATGCAGAGTTGTTTTAGCGAGAGAGAGAGAGAGAGCATGAGTTCATCGATCACTTAAGAAGGGTTTTGACAATAGATTTGACATTGAGCTTCTTAAGATCGGTGTAAGACTGACCACAGCCAACAAACATCACAGGTGCTCCAGAAATATAAACCATGGAAAGTGCAGCTCCAACCTGGCCGCCACAAACCAAAATCAATGACCATAGGAAGAGAAAACAAAGGAAAAATGCAAGATGGGAACGGGGCTGGGACCGTGGTGGTAGCACCCCCACAACCTAGTTTTCATTCCCACTAACACCACTCCACTAACACCTTCAAAACACTAACTGCTAAACGATTTTTTTTAAAAAAAGGGTAGTGGGCTGTTTTCCCCACCGAATTACCCAAATGAAATGCAAGATGGAGTAGGGCTAATCAACAAATGCATGCATACCTTATCATCAATTGTATCAAATTTTGTAAGGAGGATGCCATCTATTAACATGGGACTGGACGAAGTCGAGAGGTCCGCTAATTTCTGCAGCATAACACTTCGATCATTGAATATAGAAAAGCACAACAAACCATCTAATACCCATCTACTGGAACACAGAGTGAGAACAAGCCAATTTATGGCATCAAAGAGATCAATAAAATGGAAGCAAAACCTGGTTAAACTTTGAGAGTTGGTCTACAGCATCATTTCCAACAAGTGCCTCTCCAACAAACAGAACCAAGTCAGGACCGTTCAGATTGATAAGCTTGGAAAGCGCTCTCATCAAAGGCTCGTTGTCCTGCAAATACAACTCTTTTGAGAACCAAAACATGCACCACAACATTTATTTACATATACAAATGGCAATTACTCTTTACCTGCATTCGACCAGCTGTATCAACAAGCACAACATCTGAATGATTCCGACTAGCCTCCTGGATAGCTTCCTTTGCAACAACTGCAGGATCCTTCTCATAACCTTTCTCAAATATAGGAATCTGCAAAGGCAATTGAATTAGAACTCTTTCACCAAGCAATTAACACATCTAGAGGTTCCATTGCAACATGCCTGTCTCCAACAAAAAAGAACTCTAGTGTCCACAAGTTTCAATTCTTATTTTCCCAAAATATCCTCTGCTAGCTACCAAGGGAGTATTCCCTCCCTTCACCCCCTAGGGTAAAAACCAGTCTAAGAGAAATGTTAGGCCAAGTTTGGGAGATGTGAAGTCCTCAACCTATCAAACCGATCTCACATTAAAAAAGAAAAGAAAAAAAGTTTTAACGCACTCCTTTTGTCCCTGAGAAAAATTAAGGTCATAATGTTAAACAAAAACCATCGAATTTTTGGACGGAAAAAATTAAGTGTTATAAGAACTCAAAATCCACTTCCTTTTTTACAATCATCTGGTGATCCCTGGGAGGAACCCAAAATTTCAGATTGAAAAAATACTCCTAAGTAGCATTTTCACCCTAGGAATAAGCGTATAATATGCGTCTGCAGGACCACACTAAACCAGCCCTTCTTGTGCTGCGCTGGAGAGTGAGCAAGTGCCGCTAGACAAGCCTAGGCATCTGTGTTGGTTGTTTTCTCATGGAAGGAGTTTCTTGCTTTTATTTCTGTATTTATTTATTTGATAAGTTTTGGAAGAAGTATTTTATCTAACAAGTAAAAAACTTTTCCCCCAAAAAAAATAGAAAATAGCAACACTCAAGTAAGCTTTTGATCAAAATCACATAAAAGTCTATTGAAATAAGTAATACCTGGAGTCTGCAAGCATGAGTGCGGAGTTGCTCAACAGCACCTGATCGAAAAGTATCACAGGCGGCCATCATCACGCTGATGTTATGCTGCAGAAGCCAATACGCAACCTGCAAGAACCATGCTTTTTGTGATCAGTGAATCACAAAGAGGGTAGTTTTCGGTCAATCAAAATGGCCATATTATTATTCAACACCATGAAAGCAGTAAAATGGATCTTTACCTTGGCAAGATTGGTGGACTTTCCAACTCCATTGACCCCAACAAAAACCACGACATATGGTTTTCCTTGCTCCTTAGCAGCATGAACCTCCCTCAAAATGTCAACTGAACGTTTCGGAGTCAAAATGCGGAGAAGAGCTTCTTCCATTGCAGCCTGCAGTCAATTTAACATGCAGCTTTGCAAGCATTCATTAGATATTTCCACAAGTATTTAAGAAATAAAAAGCAAATGTGCTGGGGCAAATGAGATTGAAATAGAACCTGAACTGTCGAAGATATCCTTGTGAATGAACCCAGCTTCTTTCCTTCAAGACTAGCCGCTACAGATTCACAAAGCTTCTCAGCTATTTCCTCAGCCTTCATATTCAATAATAAAAACACACTCATTCTCTTCCCTTGTAAGTATTTTCAGGATTCCTGAGATAGCATTAGTAGAAAACTAATTAAAATACCAGATTGCATTAACATACCACATTTTTTGTCATAAGGCGATCCTTGAGTGCCTTTAAAGCAGGTTCCAGATCAGACTTCTCCAGAACTGTCTTCCCCGCAATACTATGTGGGAGAAACAAAATTAAGATTGCATCATTTTAGGTTACATCTTTGACTATGGAAATTTTGGTTTTAAACAAACTAAAAGAAGTACACAGGTGCATTATAGAAAAATCTCAAGTAAAAAAAAGACGAAGCATATATATGCATAAACCTGGCAAGATCACATAAATGACAAGTAGTACATGATCACAAAATCTTACGTATATTAGCTTATAAGAAGAAAAAAAAAGTAGTCAGTCAAGCACTCATAATATGTAGGAAATGGGTGTTTTTAGATGCTAACAATTGGCATTGAAATTGAATAAGTGATGATACTCATAGTTCTACTTTACAAGGATGGGCGTTGAAAATTTGACCTTCATTTTTCTTTTTCTGTTTAATAATTTATGGTCATGGGCTTTAGTCTACAATATTTATATTTGTCCAAGGAGCAGGAGCTGTCCCTCATCCCTTACATGAAACCAAGAAAAAAATGGAGTGAGTGAGTACTCAGCCTCCCAATAGGAAAAATCTCATCTCCACGAAGCACAAAGCGATTCTTAAGGGAAAGTGGCACCCACGGCCACAATGGAATCACCAACACGTGAAAATGATGTGTGACATAAGTCTCCAACTATCTCAACACTTAACATAGCCAGCTTTGGTCAGTATTAATGACAAAGTGTTGCACTTATGTGTGTGATGCAAAATGCTGAAAGTGCCAGAAATGTAACATTGTGGAATTTAAAAGAGGAAGAACAACATTGAATGACAACAGGACTCAGTAGTCCTATTTCAATGTATTTAGATTGTCACAGATCAATCAACTTAGATTTCAATCTTCCATGCCTAGACCAATGCACTATCACTGGATATATTTTATCGGAAGATAGAAGATCTTTCAGGTGATATCAAAACATTACAACTTTCTCCCTATGATCACCCAATCTGCTCACCAGAGCAGAACTTATGATTTGGAAACAGGCTAATCATTCAAAATGTGTTATTCTTACGTCATAAAGGGTAGTTTTATGTCCTTTACTCCATAGGAGTTAATCATTTTTGACAGGCTGACAGCCACATTCTACTTTATTACTCTGTTCATTAATAGTTGGAGTCGTACAATTATGAATCTACTTTAGATTGAGAAAACTCGCATAAAGGGACCAAATCTGGCTTTGGTGATGCATCATCATCAAAGCCTTTTCTCAACTACGTTGGAAAAGAACCTGATTGGGAAAAGCTCTGACTGATGACTAGTCGTGGGAGGTCAAGGGCACGACAGGGGGATAGGC